GAAGAAGTACGTCATACGTTGTATCCATCCGTCTTAAGATACCCTCTAACAGTATACAGGAAAGGAGTAGCCGATGAGGAGCTTGCAAAGATGGAGGCGGAGCGCGCCCGGAAGAGGGAGCTTGAAGAGCGCGATGATGAACTCCTCGAATCTCAAGCCAAGCGCCGAAGATCAGTATCATCCGACTCTGGGTCCGTGTCGACCATTTCGACCGGGGCATCAAGAGCTTCGGCATCGCCTAGGAATGATTTCGATGCTGAGCGCTCGCGAAGACGGCGGAGCAGCAGAGAAGACCTTTCTGACAATCGCCATCCTGCTCGTGATAGCTACAGTCGTAGCCCCTCACCACCACGCCGGAACCAGCGTTCGTTATCCCGGGATAGCCTTTCACCCGCGCCCAGGCGTAGAGAGGCATCTTACCGCTCGCGATCTCCCAATGACGACAGGTCGAGGAGCCCCCGTGCCCATGATGAGACGGGGTGTGGAAGAGGAGATGGATACTCTGACGAAGAAGCCCCAAGGACCCGAAGGTACCGAGAGGAATCTCGCTCGAGATCCCCTGAAGCAAGATATGGCCGCGGAGGATATGGACGTCGAGGGCGCGGTGGCCAAGCATTCCGTCGTGGTCCGAGAGACCGCAGTCAAGGGCCGCCCCGTCCTCCCGCAGATGAGCAGCCGCGGGAACGAAGCCTCAGCCCTTTTAGCAGGCGGTTGGCGTTGACACAATCGATGAATGGGGGAGCCAGGTGACGGTTGGGTATCAATGTATAGATAGGTAAATGGACAGCGACCTCATATCCATAATACGAAACGCCCCTCGATCAGAGTGACGTCGAGATCGAGTTATTCTAGGCGCCCAGAGCGTCGATATCCTCCCTTTCTCGCCGATCCTCCTCTTCCTCCTCTCTCTCTCGTACCCGTAGCCCCTCCACCAATGCAATTCCATCTACACCGGCGCCCGCGCCTTCTATCCGCGAAGCGTCAACATCTGTCGATTTTTGCGCCGCCTTCTGTGCGCCCGTGATTCTCTCCCTCACAAGCCTGGCTATGGCATTGTCGGTCCGCACGTTGAGTATTTCCAACTTCTTATCCAGGTCTCGCTTCAGATCCCAGTTGGGCTTCTTTGGCTGCAGCTTGAAGAGATCGATATCCTTCTCCTCTGCCGCCTCCTCCTCTGCGCGCTGCTTCACCTCTGCCTCGACTTCGGCGGCCTGTTCCTCCAACGTGGGCTTCTCGAGTCCGAGCGTGGGTGGTGCCTCGAACCCCAGCCTTGGACCTCTGGTCTCTGGGTCATAGTTGCGGCCTGATAGATGTAGACGCGACACGTCGGGTTCTTGTGGCGGAGAGGGTGATCGAGCGGATTCTGGAGCCGCAACTTCGTCGTTTGGCTGTTTGCGCTTGAGGTTCTTGAGCTTGGCGAGACGCGCTTTTCGCTCGTCGGCTGCGGCGCTGAGACTTGCTTGAGAGGACATGGTGAGTGCGAGCACGCTTTGATTGCACGCCGCGCTTTTGCTATACGAAGGGCGGAGTATTTATTGGGGTTGGTGACTTGGAATTGGAATCAGCGACACGGCATAAAATCTTGAGTTCTGGTCTTCAAGTTGGCGTAGTTCGGTCGACAAGCTGCAGTTGAATTCGGCACTAAAAGTGGGGAGCAGCACCACCTAGTACCTGGTCCCTATTGGACCCAGGGGTCAGGCATTCTGCGTTTTTCACACTTATCGCCGCACCGCGTCGCTACGATAAGCGGCAACATCGAAATTTCGACCTCAATGCCAAAGAGCTATCCAGTTAACCAACCAACGACCTGCGCCTATTGCATCTCGCTACTCGATCGATACGGACACCCCAGTGTCATGATGATGACGCCTGATAGCGAGCCGCAACGTCGTATTTGAAATGCTAGTGGCTCACCTGATCCGCTCAGCTTTCCCGGGCTTGCGATCCCCGTCCATATGCCTACGACGATATCCACGATCGAACCCGCTCCAAGTCTCGACTGCCGTGCGACGCAGCATTTCCACGGCTCAGGTGAAATTCTCCCGGTTCTCTGCGGAGGCGGCGGAGCCCCAGGATGCTTGGTCAGACACGCTCCCGGGAGCTGCACTCTCCATAGCTCCCGAACATGAGGTTCTGCCGACGGCGGTTGTGGAGGGCTTGACAGGTCGCTTCAAGTCATTAAAATATCAGAGCCCCAGCGCCAGGCCATCCGAAGAAGCTGGAAACAGTTATGACTATGATATATTTATTACGCAGATGGACAGTTCTCTTCAAAAGGAGAACCCCAAGATCTGGTCGGCTGAAGAAGAGGAAGATACCGGGCACGCCACCATCACAGAAACTATCAGGCGCACATGTTGGAAAAGACTCGCGCTCCGGCGTGAAACCGGATCTGGATCCCTAACGGAGGCTGTGCCAAAGCTAGATTGTGAGCAGTCTCTGGAGCGCACAGACAACATTGAGCGGCAGCGGCACACACTCTATACTTGGGTTTCGAACTTTGATGCCATATCCCAGGGCCGCAAACCTCTCGATCCGGATTTTGCTTCAAAAGCCGCTTTGCCGCCCGTCGAGCTCTTTTCCGAAACACTCCTCCATGATTTCAAGGATGTTGACCAGATGCACGAAGCCTGGGAGGCGCTACACCCCAGCCTGGATGAGTCGAGCCCGCCCAAGTGGCTTTGCGTGATGCTCGACACCTTGCACAAACGCAGGGACAAGGCAAGCCAGGTCTTGGAAGCGCTGGTTCGGCCAGACATGCCAGTCTATGCTGTCCATGACAGTTGCCAGCTCATTGCTCAATACCTGCAAACCCGGAAATACCAGACCCGAAGTGAGAGAGAGTGGGTTGCAGATCAGGTCCTGAGGCTGTTGCGTAAGGTCCTGGACATATACGCAGACAAGGACCATGGGCTGTCGCTTAGCCTCTTGCAGAAATCTCTCGAGGCCTTTGTTCCAGTCCTCCCTCCTCGTCACCTGGTTGAGCTCATGGACATCACATCTAACCCGCTCGACAGGCAGTTTAGACTGCGCGTTGCTGCAAGGTTAGCTCAACATACCCCCTTTAAACGCAAAGCTCTCAGCATTCTCCAAGAGCTCCCAAAACCTAGTAGGTACAAGAAGCGCGAATATGCCCAGCTCGTCACATCTTTAATTCGCCGCGAGGGACGCACCATCAACCCGTCGAGCCCCTGGGATGGTGCCACAGAATTTTTCTACGACGCTTTGGAATACTTGCGGGATAAGGTTGAATTGGAGCCAAATAACAATACCATCGCTACTTTGGTCGACACTCTCGGCTGCCACGGAGATGTTGAAGGGGCTCTCCAGGTCGCCGCTGAATTCGCCCAGGTTGAGAATAAGAAAGCATCGGGGTCGGGTCAGCTTGGTATAGACGTTTTTCGCCTCCTATTCCGCTGGGTCAAGCAGAGCTCCAGCGCCAAATACGCTGAGGAAGCACTTAAGCTCGCACCGCTATGCCCAGAATACGAATCTGAGATACATGGCAATGCTCTGCATTGCATCTTGAACTTTGCTGAGCTGGAGTCGCGGGCTAGGGGCGGCGGTGGACCATGGATTCTGCCTGTCTTCCCGATACTGCTGCAAGTCTATGCAAAGTATTTCGACTTGCAGGCGTTGCAGCCTTGGATACCAGACGACCTCACTTCCATGCTGATGAGTCCGGACCCGCCTCGGAAGTTTGCTTATCCAAAGCGTTGGGACTTTCCTCAGACCGTTGTACCAGTCATTGATCGATTCTTCTCCGCAAGCGGTGCGAAGAACATGCCTCCCACCAGCACAACCATCGCCACCATGATAAGGGCTTATCTGCTCAGCCTGAAGCGTATGGAGGCTGTTACCACGTACACGGAATTCTTCCGATCGCTCCTTGAGAGCCAAGGGCCTAATGCTGTGCTGGCCAAACAATTGATAAAGGACAAGGGGGCCTTTGTCCATGACGTCTTGCTCACGATCATGATGCAACGCGCATCCGAGCTGCCGAATCTAAGCGTGCCAATGGGGTTATTTGGCGATATGATCCAAGCGGCAAAGGACGAAGCGCTCAGGAAAGAGAATGCCCGCAAGGGGGAGAAGAGGGGGCAAACAGAAGCTCAGAGCATCCACCCGCCCCCCAGCCCTGTCAGTTTTCATGTCATCATCCACGGCATGATGCTACAGAAGCAATCACTGTTCGCCCAGCGCACGCTCCAGCTCATGGGCGAAATGGGCGTTCGCATGGGGCTACCGCACTACAACATCGTCCTCAAATACCACGCCAGCCAACAAAACGTGGCCGAGTCGGTACAGACGCTTTTGGACATTGAGAAGCACGGCCTCGAGCCCGACGAATATACATACAAGGCCTTCAGCCGACTGGAGGACCAGGAGAGCGCAATCGCCATGCTGGAGAACATTATCGAATCCAACAGGCAGAAGCTGGGCGTTCATTGAGCAGGCGAAGCTCATGCTGTGGCACTGCGTCGTCATTCCACAGCTGTAAAAACATTTGTACAAAACTGGCATGCGGTTCAGGCATCAGCGTTCCTGGAGTTGGGGTAAACGGGATATAGATGCATATCTGCTACAACAAGCACTGTAACTATAAGAAAAGTTAGACATAAAATTCACGAGATATCCAAGCAACTAACCACACGAAGAGCCCGTTTGGTGTCACAATTCATGATTATCAAAACTTACCCACCACACATACACCCGCACAACGCGCAAGGCAAACATCAAAACAAGGCCGCGGCCTCCCCCATACGCAGCTTATCTTCACGGCGCGGCCAACAGCGTCAACAAACACCCCAAAGCAGTCAAATATTGGCAACGTTTCCTTCCCACTAGGCCTTCTCCTCTTCCTTCCCCAGTGGATCCCCCTTTATGCATTAGATAGGGCTCAAGTGGCCCTTCTGTTCGAGCCCGTCTTTATAAAACATCTCAGCTCCATTTCTTGTCATCGCCTGCGGGCATCCCTGCCACAACGCAGAGGAGAAGAGGGGGGGCTGGCGCAACGGTAGCGCGTTAGGTAGGCGAGATCCAGACTTGCAATCATCGTGTCCCACATTGTTCCTAACATCAGCCCTAGATTCCAGCGATGGAGTGTCCTAAAGGTTGCTGGTTCAAATCCGGCGTCCCTCACGGTTCTTTTGCCTCTGGCTTTTTTTGCGTGGCGGGGGTCTGTTTCTTTTGCCCCGGCCGTATTATTTGTTGCTACCTTGAGTCGTTGATGGGGAGCGTCTGACAAGATCAGCATGGTGTTGTGACATATAATTGCCCTTGCCTGTCTCTATTAACCGGGCCGGGCCACCTGGTATTATCAACTGAGGGGTGACCCAGGAGGATGTCCACGCGCGCACTACACTCGTCTTGTTTGTTTTGACTCATGGCTATCTATGCCAGCTGAGATGTTTTGACTCGTTGTCCGCCTTGTCCTTCCCCAGGCCGCAGAAGTCGAGACCAGGCGCGCGCGTGTGGAGCGTCTTCGGTCGCTCGGACAGGCCGTTTGACGACCCGCGCCTCATTTCTTCCCCTCTCCAGTCAATGGGCCAGAGGTGGCGATTCTTTGTTGCCTAGCAGCTGGGTCAGAAACCAGGTTGTCTTTGGGGTCGACATGCTGGTCGCATGAGGCTCTGTGGATTCGTGTTGAGAGGGAGTGGGACGCCACTCACTTACCACTGCTTGAGTTGTCGAGACGTCCTTCGTATCACACACATATTCCTACTATATGGCATACATGCACGGATCCATCAAGTCAAACATTTCGTGTATAGAATTTTTTTTCAACCAGACGCTAGCTAACAGGATCTTTTATATTATAGCCATAATCAGAAAGGAAAGGAGCATCAGCACATCAAGATATTAAGAGTAATAGAAATCATCCAGCGTAACAGTAAATCTCGGGAAATATCGCATAAAATATGCAAAAGGTCGCAAGCCGAACAAATCAATGTTGTACACATTAGAAGAGCGATGGCATACGCTTGGGTATCATGACGTGAAACATGACAGTGGGTGAACAGATGTGAAAAGATTGCAGCCATCAAGATGCAATGCCGCGGAGCACTCGAGCTGGATTTCCAGCAACAATCGTGAAAGGGGGAACATCCTGTAGCCCACGTGTTAGTTGCTGAGATATGAATCAAGAGGAGCGACAGGAGACAAACCTTGGTTACAATAGATCCAGCACCAACGGTACTGCCCTTGCCAATCGTCCGTCCAGGCAGAATGATGGCACCGCCACCAATCCAGCAGTCCTGCTCGATGACAATGCTTCGCCCAAGCTGTGGACCCTGGCCACCTTGACGCTTCTTGGGATCCATGGGCAGAGTAGCGGTGAAGATGCTCACATTGGGGCCAATCACGCAGTTGTCACCTATCTTGACCTCGCAGACGTCATTGATGGTGCAGTTGCGTCCAATATTGACCTGATTTCCGATGCTAATGTTGTAGCCGTAGTCACAGGTGAAGGGAGTCTCGACAGCCACGTGTCGGCCAACGCGGCCAACGTTGGTCACCGGCGATGCTTCGGTGGGGGAGACACGGACGGGATCCCGCGGCTGTAAGATCTCGAGGAAGAGCCGTCCACGCTCGTCAGGAGACAGACCGTTGGGGGGGCTTGTCAGATTGTTGAACCTCCAGCAGGCGGCGGCACAACGTTCACGCTCGAGGCATAGCTCTTTGTCGAAGGGGTAGTAATGTCTCCCAGCGAGCATCTCCTCCTTCTGGGTTCGCCTTGGTGGGAACTGGGAGTGCGATAATGCCAGCTGCGCTGCGACCTGAGCATTGGAGGTCGGGCCCTGCGACGGCGGAGGTGGTGCAGGACTATTGGTCCTCGTAGGGTGAAGAATGTTGATCTGCGGAAGGTGATTGCCCGGATGAGGAGTCTCAGGCTCATTCCGGCTGAGGTCATGCAGCGGAGGCATGCGCTGAAACTTTTCGCCCATTCTGTCGCCGAATGAAGATGGTTGTGCACTGACTGGTGTAGGGAAGACGTTTCCATGCGTGTATGAGGAGATGGCTGACAACTTATTATCAGGGCTGGCGACAGACGCGCTTGGTATTGTTGACGCAGTTGGGCGGTCATCATCTGTGACCAAGGGCCGGCCTTGGGGAGGGTCGATACGGAGGGGCTGACCGCGGTAGTGCGGCAACGACTCGCGCTTGACAGATTGGGTTCCGAATGGGGGCTGCTGTGGCATCCCATAGGCTCCCGGGGGCACGTAGCTCGGGTCTTTGGATTCCAGAGGCACAGCCGTGGCCTTGTTATCGGGCTTCTGCCAGCCTGGCCCCCTTTGAGGTGGGTAGCCCGCGCACAAGAATCCACCGCGAATACAATTGCTGCCTATGTAGGAAAAACAAACAAACATTAGTTCGGGCTGACTCAGACGGACTGGAACGGCATGCACGTGGATGGCAACTTACATTCGGGCTTTTGCTCGTCACACTTCTTCTTGCGCTTCCTGCAAGTCAGACATCCGGTCTTGGTGCGATTGCTGAAATTGCGCTTCCGCTTCTTGGGGTCATGCTGAAGGATGTCCTGCCTGTGGTCCGAGGTGTAGGACCCCCCGTAGAGCGGAAGTGAGCGATCGTCGCCGTCCGGGCTCGTCTGGGGGTAGTCACCATGGTCGGCTTGGCTGGTTGCTGTTCGCAAGGCGTCCCCGATTTGCTCCTCGGTGTGGCCATGAGTGGACGTAGCCGAGTTCTGCTGGGTGTCATAGGGGCTTCGCTCATCCCGGATGTGGTTGGTATACCAAGACTCCTTCTCGCGGTGTTCGTCGCTGAGATGGCGATACTCTCGTTGAGGAGTACCGTATGGATCGCGTGACCCGGCACGCGGCGAGGCAGTGTCTCGTTCTGCTGAGTGTTCTCGAGCCTGTGATTCTGCTCGTACCTCCACCGAGTTCGAGCGCTTCCGCTTGCCGGAACCATCGACCTCTGGATAAGTGGAAGGCTGGAATGATGGACGTTCAGGGGGCTGGGTTGCCCACGTGTCTCGTGATGACGGGGAGATCTCGATTGCAGGCTGAGTTTGAGTAACTGGAGAGCTGGATTGGGGTTCCTCGGTTGTGACTGTGATGCTTTTTTCCGTCACCACAGCCGGACCCTCTGAGGACTTGGGCGAGCCCCCATTGAGAGCAGTAAAGGTTGACATGGCTCTCTGCCGAGTCGGATGATTGAAGATTCGGGTTCAGCAATGATAAAGTGGTCGGCTTCAGGCGTAACGATGCAATCTTTTGCACTAGTAGAGATGGTGGTTTCGTGAGAGGGATGATTTCGAGTATTGCACCGAAATTTTCCTCAATCGGGGAAAGAAAGTGCGAGTGATCCAGACTCGTTGTCACAAAGAAACCCGTGTCGACGCCACAAATCCGAGCAATGACAATATCCGAATTATGACATGAAATAAGGCTCTCAGGGGAGCAGATAGGAAACCCCTCAAAGTTGGGTGGTGCTGAACGATGAACCGCAAGTTGACCAAAAGATAGACACAGGTCCGCCGACAAAAGTCGGGACGAGGCAAATGGTGTTGGCGTGGTCTTTGATGAGCAGATGTGGCAAAAGAAGTGAGTTCGGAGGCGAATGAGTGAATCGTGATGAGGCGGCCGTTGATCTTCGTGAATGACTGGAATCCTCAAGCCAGCTCAGGATGAGATTATGTCGGCAGAAGAAGAGAAAGAGAGCAAAGGAAAAAGAGAGAAAAAAAGATGAGGCGCAGCCACGCGACAGCTCGCCAGTGGCAACGGGGTGCGCTTCCGAGTCGAGAAGAGATGCAGTCAGGAAAAAGCGGTGGCCTTTCTTTCCAATTGGTCTCAAGGTCAAGCGAGGTTGGGAGCAATGGCCGTCGGATGAGGACTGAGGCACGGGGCGAACAAAGGAGGACGAGGGCAGAGACGGAGGCGGATGTGTCGCGCTTGGTGGCTTCCGTTGACTGTTCCGGCTTGGATGTTCCTTGGGTCTGTTTCCGTGTCTTGCTTTTCCCTAGATTTCTTCTTCTCTTTTCCCTCCCTTTATTTCCTTCTTGTTTTTCTTGGTTCCTGCCAGTCGTCCCTTAAACGCGCGATTATGCTGGTTGCGCCTATGAGGGAGGGCCCGGGGTGGGAGGAGGAAGGCTTATTAAAGTAAAGGTAAGGCAGGTACGGCAACGGCAATGAGGGGGGGTTAAGGAAAAGGTCAGACGCGGCGGCAGGTGCAAACCAGACACACGGCCAATGCGATGGCAGAAGGAAGGAATGGGGCCGAGTGGCGCCGACGACAAGCGGATGCGCAAGCGGATAGGTCAGGGCAGGTCGGGATCAGGAGAAGTCGGGTGATGACAGAGACAGAGAAGGAAGGGGTTCACGCCAGGGACAACCAGGGAGCAAGCAGGTTGGCGGGAAGGGAAACGAAAAAGACGGGTAGGGCAACGAGGAACGGTATGCGGAAAGAGGGAGGAGAGCTGCGAAGACGACGTGGATGGGATGGATGGATGAATGGACGGATGGATCGAGGAGCAAAAGGCGGCCAGGGTAGCTTTTGAGTACATAGGTACCCAAGTAGTCCTCCGTGTCGACGACGGTGGGTGCAGGTGCAGGCGCAGATGCCCTGGAGAAGGGTGAAGGGGTACCTGGTACATACACACATACTACGTACATAGGCAGGTTGGGGAACCCGGGAGGCACTTTACTTTTGGCACACGGCATGGGCTGCCGGTCACTGGCAGTACGCACCAGGCGCATAGGTGGAGCAGAGCAAGAGTAAGAATGGGTGTGTGTTGGAAGGCGATTTTATTTCTTCTTTTTTCATTCTTCTTTTCCTGATCGACCCCAGGCACAAGGTAACAAGCGAACGTGCTTGGATTCCACCCGTCTTCTCAACCAACATTGCCTGCCTCCCCCTACCATCACTCGCATCACTCGGGTTACCCGCGTGTGTGATGGATGAGGTCCAGACAGGCACGACGCAGCGCGCTGGACTCGACATACTTAGACCGGCGCTTCAGGGAGGGGTGAAGCGCCCAAGGGGGGAGGGGGGTGCGACGCTGGTGCGCGCGCGTGAGGGTTTCCGTGGAGGAGAGGGCGCGCCAGCCAGTGCCCGGTTGTACTAGCTACATGCTACGTACTTAGTGAGTAGAAACAAGCTTAGCGATGCCATCGGCTGTA